GGGTGATGATGGAATAACTGCTCATATTCCAGCATACGGCATTCGCATTGAACAACAGTGAATGGTTTGTCCACGTTTTTTTTTTTTCATCGATGTTCTTGTAATGTATTGGGAAGCCAGAATGCGTATCCATCAACAAAAACATATATTAGCTGAACCCTGTTTGTTTTACGTGTTATTTATAGCAAACCATATTATAGATGCGTTGTCAGATTTAAGTTGAACCACGGTCCTAGCGCGTGCCGAACCGTGTGTGGAGAACCGTACGGTTCGATTTTTTTCCGCGAACCGTTCCACCCCTAATATATATATATATATATGACTTCAATTGCATACCTTTTGTCCTGGGCTGATGTGGGCATTGACGTGTTTGAGGACCGGCTTCAGGGTGCTGTCGTACCTCCCGCTCAGATTCTGGATCTGAATCTTACCCTGCTGAGGCCAACCCTCAGGAACCTGAGACGCCGCTGAGAGAGAAACATTCAACCAAAGAGACAAGAGGCGTAAGTTATACAGAGATGGACAGAAACTGAGAAAACAGGAAATGAAGGAGACAGATGCTGAGTGCACAAGTCCAGTGAAAATGAGACTCAAAGTGAAGGACGAAGCAGCTAGTCAATAAACGTGGCTCAGATATCCAGTGTGTCTTGATACTCACACAGCAGACCCTCGTAGTTTTCAGGTTCAGTCCTCAGCAGGGCTTTTATTTTCTTCACAGCTCCCAGCTGCACCTCCATGTCTGCCAGATTACGCACCATCCAGTTCAGATAATTGGACACCTGAGAGATAAAATACACATAAGTTATCCAATATTACTGATGATCAGTTTGTAGAAAGTATATTTGTGTTCTTACCATGAGGGCGTATGTGAGTCCCAGCCCCACCAGCCCCGTGGACAGATGATTGTACAGCGAGTTTGTGATGGACGCCACAGCTGCTATTAGGACAATACAGGCCCCGATGTACTCCTGCAGGAGATACAACAGTATCACAGTTACTGCTGAGCCTGTTTTAGGTAGCATTTGATCAAACGAAGACCACATGGAGACTGGAACAAACAGTAACAACACAATGACTTGTGTGGCTTATAAACGCACCATTCGGACCTCCAGCCAGCGATTGGCCGCTGTGAGGAAGAGAGAGGCCATGTTATTGGCATCTGTGAACTCTAGAAGTCTCTGTCTGAATCTAGGCTCATACCTAAGAAAGGAAAGTACCAGAAGAATGTGTTTATATAGAAAGCATTTAGCAGATGCTTTCAACCAGTGTGACTGAAGAAGAGTGACACGGTCAACAGATCAACATCGTTCTGCGCACCTGAACGCTCTGATGGTTGTGAGCCCCTCTACTGTCTCCGAGAAGTGTGAGAGCAGAGGAAGCTGTGTGCTGTCTTCCAGCTGCTGGAGATCTCTGCAAATACACACGCAGGTCACTTTAACGAAACAGTCTCAATGCTTAAATGATAGTTCACCCAAATATGAAAATTCTCTCATTTACTCACCCTCATGCCACCCCCCGATATATATGGCGTTCTCTCTTCAGACACGGATTAAGGTTTTTAGCAACATAATCCATCTCTATGAGTCCATACAAGTACATACAACCATCATGGCAGTAATCCATGCAACCCCAGTGGATGAATCAATGAATCAAAATAAACTTGACTATAATGCGTGCGTTCAAGAGAGGGTCAAGTTTACGCTTGAGAAGTTGTTGCACTGAAGCTCGCTCGAGAAGTGATGCTGCTTCCACATCATTTCCCGCGTGAGCTTTACAACAAGCTTTATACACACTTCAGCCCATGCTTACATCATACTTTACAATGCATTGACGTCAACTCTTACAAAACTTACAAAAGCTATAAATCATTGCTTCCTGCTGACTGTTGTACATGTGTTCAAGACAGCGTCAAGCTTACATGACTTATTCCACTGTACTTCACACTTGCACTTCACAACATGCTTGCATTTACATCAAATGTAAACTCAACCTTCTGTTGCATTGTAAAGTTTGAGCAAGAAGTGACGTTTCTCTATGCTTACACTTCACAACGCACTTACATTTACGTCAAGTGTAAACTCAAGTTTGTGCAAGAAGAGACCGTCAATTGTGCTTCGCATTAGCTTTACCACAACTTTACATCACCCCTTACAATATGCTTACTTCATAACTCACAACATGCTAATGTTTATGTCAAGCATAAACTCAATCCTATTGTGAATGAACGTACAGCTGTTGGGCGGAAGTAATTGTTTATAGTTTTTTTTTTTAACTATAAACCATCGCTTTCCATCCAACTTTTATACACGCATTTGTGGACCGCCACTTTTCGTGCAAACTTCACAAAGCAACAAATTGCAACTCAATGCAACTTTCTTGAATGCGTGTATGACAGTTATGATATTTTTCTTATACACACCTGTCGGTTTTCTTCAGAAGACATTGATTCATCCACTAGGGTCATATGGACTACCTTCATGATGGATGGATGTGCTTTTTTGAGCGTTAACATCTGGGCGCCTATTGCATCATATGGACTATTTCAGACGGATTATTTTCTAAAAATCTTCATTTATATTCATATGAATAATGAAAGTCACATACAGTAGGGGTGGCATGAGGATGAGTAAATGATGATAGAATTTCATTTTTGGATGAAATATCTCTTTAAGTATTAAAAATAAATGTGTGACTGAATTCTAAATTCTGTTAGAATTATCTAGATTAAACTGCATCGAATTAACAATCAATACATGATTTTCACCAATATTTTGAGATATACAATATAATTCCAGGATAAATATTAAATCAAAATCAAGCAAAACAAATATGGACAAATCATTGCAACTGCAATGGAGAAGTAAACCGTTTCAGATAAAAGCCTCTGATAAATTAATCTGACTGTTTACTTTGATGCGACTCTGAAGTATTTCTGGATGAAGTAGCAGGCGGTGGCCAGTGGTGCGAGTACGATGAGGAAAACCGGCGTGACGTATGAGATCACACCCAGAGCTGACACACACAGCAGCGTGGAGCGACTCAAACACTCCAGAGTGGCAGGAATGTGCTGAAACAGAAATATTCATATGCAGTTATTCAAAAGCTATCGCTAAATGCTGTTCTAACAGTCAACCAAGGAAAAATACTGCCTCACACAGAAGCATCATTTGATTTTGGTATCGTAACCTCATACCTGATCTATCGTATTGGTATCAGAAGAGAAACGGTTTAATATGCTTGCTAAAGGAGTCGTTTCAAAGAGCCTAGAAAGAGAAGGAGGGTACAATTAGAAAAAAAGAATTTCATCTTTTTTCAAATTTAGCCACAGGCCACTTTTTTCATTTCATTTTTTTTTTGTCCTTCAGGAGTTTGCGAGTTCTCATCCACTTTCATTGCATGTAAAAGAGCAGCTATGACATTCTGATAAATATCTCATTTGGCATTCCATGGCGAAAATACACAATTTTAAAATAAAAAATGTTAAAAAATACAATTTTTGGCTGAACTATAACCTAAAGCAGGGACCTCCAAACTTTCTCCATCAGCCAACCCACTTTGACCTAAATTTTACATCAAGCTATTTCAATAATTTAACACATTTGCATGTTCATGGTTCTGTCAGTTAATGGCCGCAGAACATGCAGGTAAACCAATATTATAATAAAAACACAGATTAGCATATCACCCTGCCTGTCCAGATGTCCTCCCATGAGCACTTAGAGTGTTACTAAGTCACTAAATCCCCCAAACGTTGTTTGCTTTGCTAAATGAGCCATAGAGTGGGTACACAGGCAAAGAGTAATAAAACAAGACACACATAAACCTTCTCAACCCTATGCTCATGGCCACCCACCTCATGTCCTCTCATCTAATACATACCCACATACACCGTGACTCAGTCATGACAAATTATACACAATATACAATAACAATTCACATAAACACTTCAGGAATATGAAGGTTCAAATGTACCTCATTGGAGCAAGGATAATATTATTGAGCAGATTGTGGTGCAGTTCTTTGGCCACCCGCAGGCCTGTCCACTCCACAGCCACTGATGTGGCCAGACAGAGTATGATACCCAGACAGCACAGCAGACTGAACACCAGCAGGTATGACGAGTGACTGAAACCAACATCCTGTGAGTAGAACAATGATAACCGTTAAAAAACACCAACTCACTTGGTATCCACATGACCCTGTTGAAAAAACCAGCATATGCTGGTTAGGTATGTTTTGACGCTGGGATGCTGGTTTAAGCTGGTGCTTTGCTGGTTTATGCTGGTCCTTTTGCTGGTTTACGCTGGTCATGTGCTGGCAAAGGACCAGCATAAACCAGCAAAGGACCAGTTTAAACCAGCAAAGGACCAGTTTAAACCAGCAAAGGACCAGCATAAACCAGCATCAAAACATACCTAACCATCATATGCTGGTTTTTTCAACAGGGGAGTAGAAGGCAGGATATATCTGTGCACATGTAAGTGGTTGGTAAGTGATTCTGTCAAACTAATCTCAAGCTAGCATGTTTTGTCATGGTTATACTTTGCATAGTACAACAGCTGCATATTTTAAGCATTTATTTACCAATATTAGTGTTGCAGTGCTGCAAGAACAATAACTACAAAGATAAAGATAACAATATTAGCATCCACACCGATGGACAATAATATTCTGTGTATTATAAGCGCGCGCTGCACTTTTGTCGCCTGTCACTTTAAATGCTTGATCTCTTTAAAGGTCATGTAAAGTTTCAGGAATGACAGCCACATTTAAATACAGGAGTAAATTATTGTTTCATGTGTGTCTGGAATTGAACTCACTCTTGAAACTGCGATGATTGGCACCATGGAAACCATAGCAATGTTCTCATGTCTCACGCTGTTGGGATCCGCTATTTTTAACCAAAGTAATATTGCACCGACCAAAGACTCGTTATGTTCGGTGATTTTAAGTAAAGCACTGTCAACAGAGCCGTCTTGTTTTGTTTATGTTTGGAAGGCTACTTCGTAAAGTTCTAACTTGAAGGGTTGCCATGTCCACTTATTATAAGTAATGCTTATTAAGCATCTTTGTGCTTGTTATTTGGACTATAAGATGAGCATTTGTGGTTAAAAGTATATACATTTAAATTTTTTTAAGAAAATGGCAGATCGATTTGCTAGATAAGACTCTTATTCCTCAGCTGGGATCATGTAGAGTCCTTTGAAGCTGCATTGAAACAGCAATTTGGACCTTCAACCCGTTGGTCCCTGTTAAAGTCCCCTGGAATGTTTTTTTCTCAGAAACCTTAATTTATTTTCGACTGAAGAAAGAAAGACATTAATACGTACCTTGGATGACATGGGGGTGAGTAAATTGTCAGGAAATTTTAATTCTAGAGTGAACTAATCCTTTAAAAGGTGAACTGACAACTGAATTTTGCTGCAGTCTGTACATGACATTATCAGGTGGATTCTGATTGGCTGTTAATGTTTTTATCGTTCTTCAGCTGGAAAAAAAAAATCTTCTGAAAGTGATTCCAACAAAATTGTTTCTCTGTGGTGTTATCGTTATAGTCGTGTTGTGGACTTCCCAATTCTCACAGAATTAGGATGATTATTAACACTTTATAGTGATAGCTGTTGTTGTTACAGTTATTGTCCTTAAGTGCAAACGACCTTAAAAGTATTTATCATACAAGCTGCAAAAATCCATAACACTGCTAGGAGGCAAATCATTTAAATTAGACATCAAGACTGAGGACTTTCTGGCTGATGTACTGCAACCCTCCAAATGCTAATCATACACGCTGAAGAAATAACAAACTGAAAAAAAAAATCAATTGGCAATCAAGACGACTAAAAGGCTATTCATTACCGCAGAACTCCAGCAGAAAACATCAACAATGAGAATTAACTTAAAAACATAAGAACTAATTAGCGGAAAATCTAAATCAGGGTTAAGTATGTATACTTTGCATTCTGCGTGGCTGTTTAAAATGCTCTGAGCAATTTCCTAAGCAGTGATGGAGAATTAAGTATTGATCAGAATGACTGGTTTGTGAAAATACAAAAAAAAAATAGGCTGATAAGATGTCCTGTACTGTCTCTGCTCAAGTGGAGCATGTGAATTGGAAAAAAATAGATTTTTTGCACTTATCGCACAGAACAGCTGTGTGCCAAGAATCCCATGGGATGGTGAGGACATTTAAGCAAAACGCTTGTGCTGGGCCTGTGTCTATAAGAAAGGCAGAGATCTGGAGGACCACAGGCTTCTTCTATGCAGCACAATTTCAACCATCAGACTGAGTCAAGCTGAGGTTTATTAGATAAACGTCCTCGCCTCTAACCCTGAACAACTGGAGTCTAGCTTTACTGTGTTATCTGAGCTGTCACAGCACATGCTAGCTCCAGGCTAAACCCACCACAACATGCTCTTCCTCAGTGACAGGGGTGGTCTATTAATAAAGTGAGAAGTCTGATTCTGGCTCTTAACACCTTCTCTCTTATCTTGTAATGTCACCTGTAGGACATTACAAATCTGGTATATTTATCATGGAGAATTTTAATAATCAACATAAGCAGCCAATGAAATCATGCATCTAAGTTGTCAGAGGTTGAGGAACTGTGCCACTTCAGCAGGTGCAAACCATAAATTATGTAAATCTTTTACACTCCGAGCCTCAATCATTCAAGGGGGCACCTTTACAAAGTAGGTCTCAAAGGCAGGTCTCAGACATTCACTTTTGGACAAATTTGACCAGAACATCATAGAGACACCTATTAAGTACCCAGAACACTTATGCAATCATACAGCATTCTTCAGAAAGTGTAAACATCGGGTTCACATCACCATCTATCTTTACCTGCACTAGGGAGCAGTTGTGTGCGGCTGCATCGATTTTGGCTGTGATGACTTTGGACGTCCAGTAAGCGAGCCAGTAGTCGATGGCCACCAAAAGGGAGTGTTTGAGGAGCTGGGACAGCAGGAGCAAGAGAAGCAGGAGGAGGCCTGCTGAGCTCAGGTATGTCCCGCAGGATTTCCATGGGATGGTGGCTCTGTGCCTCATCACTTGAGATAGGTTATCTTCTTCATCGCTCTCCACGGACTGTTCTATATATATGAAAGGAAAACAGAAATATGGATTGATAGATAGATACTGAATTGTGTAGCATACAAAACACATGACAACTTGTCTTGTCCCAGATAGACAGATGAACAGACAGACATACAAGATAGATCATTTGACAACTTATCTCTTCTGACATTCATACAAAAATATCCTTGTCCACAGTTCAATCTTTTGAACAAATGTAGACTTGAACTGTAGAGAGTGCTCCCCACTTGCTGCTCCAAATTTAAAAAGCAGCATCATGCTGGCATTTTAAAAACACAAGTGTTGGTGGATGGCAAATAGGGGAGAGATATAAAAAGCAATAAACATCAGAAAAAGGCTGCAAAGCCCACAGGCATGTAACACTTGGACCATGCTAGGAATACCCTTGAGTGCCAGAGCAGTGATACTGTGTGTATATATCAAGTTTAGGCTGGTAGAAGAGCATTTACTAGCACAGCACATTAGCCGTCATGAAGGGAAAAAATGTGCTACAACCCATTATGGTTTAAGAACTCAGTACAATCTCAATGCTGACGAGACCATCCCCACATTCATTATTCATTCCAGCTTGGTCTGTACCGTCAGCAGATGATAAATGCTTTTGCTCTCTCTCCCACACTACAACTAAAATCAACAATGTTCAGCGAGAAAAAAAAAAATCGAAGTGACACCTGGAGAAAACTATCTGCTACTCTTAATGGCCAGTGTTGGAGGTAACGCATTACAAGTAACGCGAGTTACGTAATCAGATTACTTTTTTCAAGTAACTAGGAAAGTAACGTAAAGTAAACGTAAAGTAAACGTAAAGTAAAACTTTTTTATGGAGTAACGCAATATTGTAATGCATTACTTTTAAAAGTAACTTTCCCCAACACTGTTAATGGCAGTTAAAGCTAACCAACCAAACCCTGAACCCTTGGTTGTATCCAAAGGATAGTAAAACGGTGATTTCACAGAGAACACAACGTGTGATGTGACACTTCTGGAAGAGTTTATGGTCACTTTTTCAAGCAAAGCATGGAGTCTATTGTTTTGTAGGTCACTGCAGTGAGAAGCCCAACCTTTCAATATAGTTTCACTACTGGAGTATACTGAAATTTGGCCAACTGCCACATGACTGGCGCTCAGGCTATATCTGCCATCTAGAGCAGTGGTTCTCAATTCCAGTCCTCGTGTACCACCGCTCTGCATATTTTGCATGTCTCTCTTATTTAACACACCTGATTCAGATAGCCAGCTGGTTAGAAAAGAGCTCCATGCATGTACTTTGTTCCGATTGAAATGGTCCCTATACAGCGTTCATTGCTCCCTACCCCCTGAGCACGGGAAATCAGTTGAAATTTACTTGAAGGAACATTCATTCATGGATTTGCGCTATGCCACGGCCTGCAGCGTCATCACACACAGACGAAACTTACTAGAGAAGTGTGACATAATATACCTCTGTAAATAAATACAATTTAAATTCATGTCTCGCACACTGTAACACATACGCTCCCTTCAAACTGGAATCATGGCGGAATATTTTGTGATGTCCACTTCGCAGGGCACTTACGGTCGAATAGAACAAACGTCTGAAGTGATAAGAGATGCATACAAAATGTGCAGAGCGGTGGTACGTGAGGACTGTAATTGAGAACCACTGATCTAGAGAATACTCCATTACTGTAAATCATTATTTCCCACTATGAAAACAGGATCTCTTCGATGCACTGAATCTAGTGGCACTAGCATTATCCTGCAGACTAATGCTTTAGAGCAGGGGTTCCAATCCTAATCCCAGAGGGCTACTTTCCTAAAGAGTTTAACTCCAGTGCACCTGCCTGCAAGCTTCTAGTGATCCTGAAGACCTTGTTTAGCTGGTTCAAGTGTGTTTGATTAGAGTTGGAGCTAACCTCTGCTGGATAGTGGCCCTCCAGGATCATGTTTGGACACCCCTGAATTACAGCCTTTATAATCCATCTTCAAGTCCACCTGTGAAGTTCCTACTTACAAATGATCAACTACAAACTTGTAAGTAATGTGCATTTGGTGTGCTTTATTTTAGTGTTTTTTATTCTTGTGCTGTAGTTGAGAATGATTTTGTCACACAAGCCTGTAAGCTACAGTGTTCTCAGGATTTCTATTTACATAGTAAGGCAGGGGTGTCCAATGTTGCTCCTGGAGGGTGTTGGATTACAAATTTAAGAATCTGTTTATGAACTGCTAATCCTACAACCTGACATAACATCACATGGAAAACTAAGGTGAACTACACTGTATTGGGCATTCAGTGTGAACATGACAGTATCAGTTTAATGATTTGATTAAGTAGAGTTACCTGTGAAGGGGTTCTGCAAGTCTCTGATTTTCCTACTGAGAGTTAACTATGTGTGAAAATCTACATGGCTCTAGTTCTTGTGACCAGGTGTTGCTTAATCCATTTGGGTGATTTCCTATATTGTCTTTAGATGTTTTGGTTAAGTGGTCCCTTCTGAGGCTTGTGTAAGGTCAACACCTTTAAGGACTGCCCACTGAATTCCTATGAAATACAATGCATTCCTGCCTTAGACTTGTGACTGCAGTGCCACACAGGACATTGTCAAAAAAAAAGAATCCGGCTAAAGATACACCAAGAGTCTCATTGTCTTCGTTTCTGGGTTTCCTACAAGTGCCAATGTCCTGCAGAGTTTAGTTCCAACCTGCTCAAGCACACCTGGCTGAAAGTTTCTAGCAGAGGTCCTGAAGACCTTGATTAGTTCATATGTGTGTTTAAATACAGAGTTCAGGCATGAAACTCTAGATTGCACAGTCCGATAGGTCTAACTCAATCTGACCTAATGACATCATTATCACATGGGACAGCTGATTGGTTCTCTCCTGTATTGGTAGCCAATGCTCAACATTCAAATATATGACTAGTGCTTGCCGTAGCAGTTGCAACTTGCTTCAGAACAACGAAATCAATATCTAAGATAAGTGAATGCTCTTTTAATCCATCTCACTGTGTATTGCGTGGTCTGCATAATTAGGGATGCACCGATACCGATACTGGTATCGGTATCGGGCCCGATACTGAGCTCCTGTACTCGTACTCGTTAAAATGCCCCGATACCAAACGCCGATACCACACAGCATGTGATAAGCGCCATATTCAGACAAAGAAACACCGACAACAGAACAACAGACAGCAGAATGGAGTTAAGGATGTCTACTACGAAGTATATGTATGCAATGAATATAACGTTAAACATTCAGTATTAACGCCTGTATAGCTGATGTGCGCGAGCTGATTAACAAAGCACGCTGAGTGGATTGAGCGCGCGGCGGCGCAGATGCGCGAGCTTGTCGAGTGAATATATCTTTCTCACAGACATCACTGGAAAGTTTGTAGTTCGGTCGAATATGTAAAAAACAAGTAAGTAAAACAATGCAGAAGTTACTTAACAGTAGGGAGGGAGAGAGAGAGAGAGAGAGAGAGAGCGCGGACACTTCTGTTGTGTGATCTTTGATGTTCACTCACTTAGCACACGCATCATTTGGATTAAAACTAAATCGTAAAAATAAGACCATTTATAGGGGCATTCACTATAAACATCATTTATTTTCAACCTTAGGCATACACGACTTTCTAGCGAAAGTGAATCTAGCAGCCTGTGTGAAATGCACTAGGCTGTACTGTTCTGCATCAGTACAAACACGTGCAGGCGTTGCGCGTGTTTTGCTTGCTTGAGTGTTTCCGCATTATATGAGTGGCTTTGGAATATAAACCGCAGCACGTTTCAGATGAAAAAACGCGACATCTATTTCTGAAAATATCACAGTTAGGAGATTTATAACGAGTGGTTCCCTGCATTATTACAGCAAAGCGCGTGATTACAGTACTAAGCCGCTGCAATGGAGCAGCTCTAATGCTATTAAATTAAAGATGATGTACCATAGAGCAAAAAAATGAACAGTAAAAGTAACAAAAACTTGTAAAATACATTTTAATGGGCATAATTAAGTGTGAAAATAACCGAAGGATATACAGTGAAACCAAAAATGATTCAGAGACCAGATATAATTTTTGATATTTTTTTACTAGTGGGTGCAGGACACTATAGTTCATTTATGTAAGTGAGGATAGCAAAATAAAGTAAACTGTGACAAATCATACCCAAAAATTCTTCATACAGTGGACTACCAGTAAAATTGATACAAATTTGGGTCCAAAAATTATTCAGACCGAGTCTGGGAAAAAAACTGAAGTTCAGGTTTTCATGAACCTGGGTGACAGCATGCCCAGGAGACTACAGGCTGTCATTGAGGCTAAGGGTTGCCCGACAAAGTATTCATAGTTGTGTAAATACTGTCATACTAACAGCTGTCTGAATTATTTTGGTTGATTGTAATCTATTACATACCTTTCTATCAAAATTATCTAGCATTATCAAGATGAATTTGTTCTGACACAGTGTAACTCTGAGTTCTTGTCATATTTTATTACCATTTTCTAAACTATAACGAATAAACTGTGATAATGTGAGAAATGTTGAAGGTGTCTGAATAAATTTTGGTTTGACTGTATCTATTTGATAAATGAAGTTAACCAACTAACATTATACATACCCTTTTGGTTTCTGTACCCAATATTTAAAAAATGTACAAATGCAATAAAAATATTGGTATCGGTACTCGGTATCGGCAAGTACCAAAAATAAAAGTATCGGTATCGGGCGAGTACTGGAAAAAGTGGTATCGGTGCATCCCTAAAAATAACTAAACGACTCAGCTGTTCTTTAGATGTCTGTTATCTCACCTATCTGATTTTAATTAGTTAGCCCAGAGAAATTTAAAAATGAAAATGGATTTTTTTT